ACAAAAAAAAAAAAAAAAAATTACCGTACGGGACTCGCCGATTCACTGTTCGGACTCGTCGATTCCGTACAGTGAATCGGCGAGTCACTGTACAGAATCGTCTGGTTCTCTCTAGAACCGGACGATTCCCGTTTTTTTTGCCGATTCGATCCATCCATGGACGATTCCCGTTTTTTTTTTTTGGGTTGGGGATATTTGTTAGGAAAGTATGTTTTGGGTAAAAAATGAGAAAAGAAATTAGCTTGGGCGTAAGTTGCATAGGAAGTATATACTTGGGTTTTTTTTATAATTTTCCCTTATGTATACTTAAAGATTAGGTTTCAAGTCCATCTCAAAAATGGATTATGCTTGGGGGACGCATATCTACTTATGCATCCTGAGACTCACAAAAACTGGGTTTATATCAAAACATATGCCACAAAGGATCCACTTTACATCCTTGATACTGTATGTATATATACTTGGTGCTCTCTATGCACATGCAGAGAGACCAAAACACTATTCAGCGAGTTGTCTAGTCTAATTACATTTTGGACCCAGTCGAAATGCGAGCCTATTAATAAATCTATTTTTGAGATTGGATTTTAAGATTTAATTTTTAAAGACATGTAATCTCTAATATGGAGATAATGAATATAAAATAAATAAATAAATTTTAAAGACATGTAATCTCTAATATGGAGATCATGAGTATGAAAAAATAAATAAATTTTAAAAACTAAAAATAATAATTCTAATAAAAAAACATTTGGACATTAGTTTCCATCGTTTTTAGATGGAACACCTACTTACATCCATCTTTAAGATAGATGCTTTACACTTTCTGAACCGCATATGTAGAATGCATTCTAAACCGTATTAAACAATTTTCCTTATATTTTTTTGTAGCATCTTTATTGTCTGTCTCATGAACCAACAGCGGATGCTCAATAATAGATTTCTTTTTCAAAAATTAGAAATCGAGCATCTCAAACTTTTTGTACTGTGATGCTGTCAAAATGGAATCGGGACTAGATTGGATTTACAAGGGTACGTAAGTAATGCCAAAAGGATGCATAAGGGTAAAGTTTATATAAGGTTGGCACCTTATAATGTAGAAATAAGGTAACTCAAAAATCCATCGAAAAATTTTGTTTTGATGTTGGAAAACCATTTAATTGATAATCTTGATGTTAAGATATATGGATTGTCCATCATCATCATTTCGATGTCGAGATGTATGGATCATCCTTCATCATCAGAGCCTTATCCCAACTATTTAGGATCTGATATACAAATTTGTTTTGCTATTCTTTTCTGCAAGAACTATACCCTCAGTAAGACTATAAGTCTCCATATCTTTTTTCATTACTTCCATCTTTCTTTTTTGTTCTTCTCCTTGTCTTTTTAGAGCCTTCCACTTAAACCAAATCACACCACCTAATCGTTGTTATATTGGATATGCATTTCACATGGCCAGCCTACTTAAGTCTAATTTACCTCATCTTGTCACCAATTGGAGCCACCCTTAAATTCTCTTAAATATATTCATTCTGAATTCTATCATTTCTTATCTTGCCACTCACCTATCTCAACATTCTCATATCTGCAACATTCATCCTATTGGTATGTTGTTTCTTGATTGCCCATATCGAGATGTATGCATATGGAAAAGAAAAAAAAAAAAAGATTTCAAGTCTAAAAAATACTACATCTTGCAACACATTATCTGGATCGTCTATTTTCAAGAATTTTATACGTTTATAAATCTGCTTGAAATTTTTTATCGTAAAATTTTATAATTAATGATAAAAATAGATTTTCCAGCCATCCTAAGAATTTTAAACTTTAAAATTGCAACTAAGTTTTGAGGTGTGCCTTACTCTATTGTTTAAGATTGCAACCTTAAGCAAACCATGCCCGATGCAAGGTCGGGAATTAGCCGACTAATGGGCCGCCACGGGAAACAGGGCAGGTCGGGAACTCTTCCGATTTAATATGATAAAGTCAGTATGCCAATCGAGCGCATACTAAGGAAGTGTAGTGAATATCTACTCTCTCGGACAAAAAACCTACTAGGAGGATTTTTTTTTAGGCAAGGCTTTCTATGTGATCCCCTGGTCTCAGCCATCAGATTTGAGTAGATGGTTGAGATGGCTTGAGTCACAATGTCACAAGCTAGTACTTAATTGTCAGATCTTGAATCGATTCACAGTGTTTTATTTTTAAATTTTTATTCCACAAATAATTTGAAACAAAATTTGGGGTATACATAGATCTAACAAGAGTGCACATAATAAAAATAATAAAAATAATAAAAATAATAAAAATAAATCAGGTGATAAAAAATTATCAGAATACCCCTGAAAGTTGCATGAGAATTTTGGTAATTTATTTTACATAAAATAATTTTTTTTATTTTTTTAAGGCCCTAATTTTCTGATAGGATGTCCAAAATTTCATTTAAAAATGTTTTGTAGAAAAAAAAAATGAAAAATAAAAGAGTGTTTGACGTGACATTGTGGTAGGAACAATCATAAGTATTCGATTGAGATCGAACGGCTAAGAAGTGGGTCGCATATAACTTCTATGTTGTTGGGTCATATAGAAACATTTTTCTTTTTTTCAATCTTAAAATTTGGGGACCATCCTGTTTCAAAAGAAAAATTTTTTTTTTTTGAAATTTGACTTTTTTACCATCTAAAAATTAGACATTCTCTATTCACTCTTAGGACGATAATGTTTTTAAGTGCATTGACATACGATTAAAAAAATTTCTGTTGAGGTTAATCTATAATTGAAAAGGTTACATCCTCAAAAATTGGATTAATATCTTTTGCATATCTTTTTTTACCAACACGATCTTTTGCATATCAGGAAAAGACAAAAATGCTAACGGTATGGGTTAGGTTGCTGCTTGCATAAGGCTGAGGCTCTTAATAATCAAAGTAAAAGGGAACTTCAAATAATATAAAATGATATGGTTTTTATTCTAGAAATTTTTTGTGATAGTCTTAAAATATATTTTTATCTATAATTATAAATTTAAAGCTTAAAAAATAGTATAGATCAAACAAATCTATAAAAAAAACTCAAAAATCTTAAAAATTGATGGTCCAAAAATGTATTACACAAGACGCACTACTTCAAACTTTTGAAATTTATTTATTTATTATGTCTATGCACCTTGAGATGGAGATGGCCAATTTGAAGGGTTTTTGGACATTAAAACAACTTTTTTAAAAAAAAATTTTGAGATACACCCCAAGTTAATTGTTTAGAGCCTCGCACTTAAATAAACTTTTTCCTAACTTTTCCCATATTAAAAAAGATAATGGCCCCCAAACCACGGGGCTCTAGCGTCCTAGAAATAAATCAAAAAGGATATTTACAGTAATTTTTAAGTCCTAAGTCAGCGCCTTATAGTACTATCGAATCAAAAGAAATAAATGCGCTGAAAACCACGACGCCATGTGACCAATGGCAAGCACCCACGTGTAATGTAACACTTGCCACGTCATTCCCTCAAGATTGCTGCGCCTTGACAGCGTTGTACACACCTGCCCCCCTTTGTTTTATTTTTCTCACCCTTTTTTTTTCTTTTTTTTGCCCTTGCCTTTTATCATTTTTCTGTTTTCTTTTCTCCGTTACCTTTTGGCGGTGTCTATTAAACTTTTTCGCTCCATCGTTTCTCTGTCCTTTATCGAACCTCGTCTCGTTTTTTTAGCTCGAAACCCTAACTTTTCATTCTTAATTATTCGCTTTGTGATTCTCGTTGTTTCTCAATGGCGAAACCCTAATAATCATTCTGTACTTTCCATGGTTTTGAGTGGATATGAGGGGCCTGGTTTTCCCTTGTTCCTTCTTGGAGTTGCAGAGCAAATGATTGATGTGATACTCATGCATAAGATCTCCTTCTCCAGGTGCGTAAGGGCGCCAACTATGAAGCTTTTGTTGCTTCGATTTTCTCCTTTATAATTCTTTTCAGCTTTTTCTGATGCTTTGATGGTGAAGTAAGCCTGGTTTACGATTAAGGAGATAGAGCTTATGTTTCTCTCTCTGTTTTTTCTTTTTTTTGCAGCCATTAAAGCATTAACTTAAGGTCTGAATCTGATTTATATTATGTCTGCAAACTTTTCAACCGAAGATTAATTGAACTTTATTATGAATAGGCTTTTAGTCTCAGCTTTTTCAGCATTCAAATCACTTTTAATTTTTTATCATACTACATCTTTAAAGCTTAATTTCCAGCTCTATTAATTGTTCTAGCAAAGATCACTGTTAATTTTCAATGTGAAAATATATAGACCATTAAACCTTGATCTTTGCTTATCTGATCCCCTTCAATCATCTGAGAGCTTACAGATTTGCCGGTTTCCTCCACTTTTTCTTCATTAAAATTGGTTCCAAAACCTATTGGTTGCTCATAAGGGAGATCACTTTTGAGTTCTTATCTCATGTTCTGCTAATTCTTTGAATTTGTTCAACCAAAGAGAACTTATAATTTCAGAGGGAGCAATTTTTTTCCTCCATTAAAGCACCGTTTCTTGCCTGAATACACGCGTTCCACGATGGTCATCCATTACAACCTACCCATGAAAAACATGATCCTCCATTATAGCTCGCTTTTGAAGTCTGGATCCAGCTCAAGCAATAAGATTTTTGTATTTTTATTTTGTCTAAATATTGTTCGTGATTGAAAATAATTTGGTTTTGTTTAATAGGAAATTTAGGAGATTTTAGGGCAAATTTTCCAGTCGAATCGGCGGCAAGCGCTCTAAGCATCTGGAGAACAGAGGTGTCGGTGCAATTTTCACAGGCGAAAAAGGTGTTTGGAATTTGAATTTTTTCCCTTTCTTTTTTTTTTGTGAAAACTGTTTTTCAATTGAAGAGTTATAATGTTTTTCTGGAAATGAAAAGTGTGCACTGTTTCTTAGTGTTTTTAGGAGGGAGGGATACTGTAATTAAAGATTTTCATGGAACTTAGGGCACCTAGATTTGAACATCCTTTTGGTCTTATCCACTTTGTTATTTTCTATGTTTAATTCATAGCATAATCTTTGAAAATCGACGCAATGCATCTAGAAATTCACTCATTTCCACTTTAGAGAGAGAGACTTGGGGGAACTTTTGAAAATTCTTTTTAGAAAGGGTGGAACACAAGGGAATGGTTTCTACTTCTTCCCCTAGCATAAAAGTTCTATCCTCTCGTTACTATTAAGCCGTCCAAATTTGATCAAGAGAGCCACTCACCATTTGATTTTAGATTCGATATCTTAAAGTATTTTATTTTTAGTTTTTTTATACAAATTGTATGAATATGAAATTTGGTACGTGTCATCTTTTCATTGGGATGCACCTATAAAAAATATTAAAAATAATTTATTAATAAAATATAATAACTAAAATACCCCTTGAAATTTTCAGGGGTATTTTGATCATTTATTTTATTGAAAATATTTTTTTATATTTTTTCGCTAGTGCAAGTTTAATAGAGGAATGGATGTCCAAAATTTGGTGTCAAAATAGTTCATAAAAAAAAATTAAAAATAAAATAGTGTAGAGACATGACGTTGTGATTGGAGCAATCTTAGCCCTCCATTCAGAATGGACGGTTGGATAAGGAGGAAGATAGAACTTCTATGTTGTTGAGGAAGCATAGAAAGTTTGCTCGAAACACAATGAAAATGAAGGGTATAGGAGTTGGAAAAAGACTGGCTAGGTCCGGTCCAACCCACTAGGTGAACCAATTTTTAGTTGATTTAGGGCATCTAATTGCTAGGGGTTGGACCCCCTACTTGACCTCCTCGAGTAGGCGTTTTATTTACTACCTGGCTGGGTTTCTTTTAACCCAATTGGTTTTCGGGTCTACCTAGCCGGTTAGCCCAATTAGCTCGGTTATATCTCGAGTTTGGTAGTCAAGCTCGGGATCTTAAATAAAATTAAAAAAATAAGAAATTTATTTGTAATATAGTTTTATGTTTCTTACCATTTTGACAAAGATTGGGAAGGGTTTTGACAATGATTACTTATTTTTACATTTATCTATTCTTTTTATATTATTTGTAAAACACCTCTAGTTACCAATTGGTTTTTCAAAATTGTTTTTTTCACTATTTTAACCTCATTTAAATGTGTTTTATTTAATTTGACTTTAAATACATTTTTCATATTCTTATAAATTTTGGCCCCTGTCTAGTGACGGCCATGTCACGCGGACCGTTTTGCGTTATTGAGCCCGCCCCAGGACGGTTCCTATTCGTGCTAGCATGATAATGAATATGCTCCCCCTCAATTTAATATATCTTTACACGAGATTTTTCAAACAGTATAAACTTAAAAGCTGTCTAAACGAAATCCCTTTTATATTATGCCGCCTCCATTTAAACAGCACTCTTTGATTCTCTCCCTTCTTTCTGCCAAACCGTTTGCTCTTTTTTACTTTCAAAATTTGATCGATCAATTTCTCTCTACACTCTGAGTGCTCTTTAACGTTTTCCATTGTCTGCCTCAAACCTTTCCAAGTGGCAGGCTGCCTTTCTCATTGTCTTTATCTTCACGGTCGCACATTCAAGAATAAAAGATGATGGAGACAGAAACAGAGAAAAGTAAAGAATCGACATGCGCTATAGTTGTTGTCTACCTAAATTAGGTCATGCTACGGTTAGAGTATCTTCTTCCCTTCATGTTTCATGCGACCTTTTCTCTTCTTCAATTGGGACCCGGTTTTTATGCAGCCAAGCCCGTGTATGTAGAAATACGGACTTCTAATAAATCTATTTTGAGAT